TGAATGTTTTTTTGTATTATATAATAGATTGTTTTTGCTAGTTTGCAAATTTTTTACTGCGTCATTTTGTGGGCAGTTTTTGTTTTTGTTTTATTTTTTTTTTTATACATATGTGTATTTTTTTTTTTTGGTTTCGTTTCCATTAAACAACTTTAAAATTGCGGAAATTGCGTTTCTATTTTTCTCTTCTACTAATTTTTGTTTTTGTTTTTTTTTTCTCATAAATTTTTTTAGTTTTATTATTATTGCCAGCGCACGCAACTTTGCCTGTTGTTCTAAGCCAAAAGCTGCGTGTAATAAATTGTACTTAACAGTTAAAGATGAGTGTGTTTGTGTATTCTTCCTCTCTTTTTTTTTGTGTAATTACTCAAAATTACTTTTGGTAGCAAAACAAAAAAAAAAAAAAATATGAAAAATAATTTTAAAATAGCAAAATTACTTTGCAAAGTTTTTTTTCGGATTATTTTTCGAAAATTCAGCTTAATGTCACGTGGGGTCAAATTTGGCATTGCTGCTTTTGGAAAATAAAAATTCAAATCAAAAACACGTTGATGAAGAAAGAAAGAGTAGAAGAAAAAGAGCAGCGTAAGCGTAGGAAAATCCCTCAAGCGTGAACCTAACCTCATTTATGCGCTGTGCAAATTTTGTTTCGAAATTTTTTGTTTTGAAAATTTATATGCGAAAGCTGTGGTGAGAGTTACTTTGAAAAAAAAAATATATACAAACATTTTAGAAAAATTTGCTAATTTTTTTTCATTTTTTGCATATGACTAATTTTGTAAGTTTGTATAATTTTATATGCCAAAAAGTTAGAGAAATTTTAAATTTAAAAATATTTCAGCAAATTTGAAAATATATTTTTTGTGACATTTTTAGAGCGATCTTTTTATAAAATTTTGGGCATTTTTAGTATAAAATGTAGTTTTTGTTATTAAAGATAGATTTTTTTCTTTTTTGCCAAAAAAAGCAATTTTTGGTGCAAAGCTTGGCTCGAAAAAGTGATTTTTAGCCAGTTTAAAATAGAATTAAACGTTTTTAAATATGTTTTCAATATAAAAATTACACAAAATAATTATTTCTTATCGCCAATATTTAGAAACAAACGAACTTTTTAAGAAGTAACCAAATTTATAAACGAAACTTTCAATATATTTCAATACTTTCGGACACATTTTTACATTGTAAGCACTTAGTAATGCTCTAAAATCAATGTTAATATTTTTTTTTTTTTTTTTTTGTATTGAAAAATTATTTATCGTGTCAAAATTTTCATGCACACAATTAAATATATTTTTACCACTTACCTATAGTCATATAAGTTGTAAAAAGCATAGCTTTCCCAAAGCTGACACGACTATTTTGCGCAAGTGTGGCTCTCAGAAGTGTTGAAATTTGCAGCACCGCCAAAAATTAATAATTTTTCCAACTAAAGCTGAAAATTGTACAAATGCACCGTTATCTGCTTAAGCAAAATTATATAAACTAAAACAAAAAATTCACACAAAATTACGGTTTGTTAAGCCACTTGTAACAGCTGTTTTGTTGTTGGTAAATTTTATTTTTTTATTTTATATTTCAATTTTGATTATTTTTTTTTTTAAGAAAATTGATTTTTTTCAAATATTAGATTTTTTTTTAATTTATGTTCATTTATTGCTCATTCAATAAACAGAGCAACAGTATTTGTTTTTATTGCAATAAACATTTTTTTGTTTTTGTTTTTGTTTTTTTTACTTTGCACAGCTTTCATTTGTTTTGCACTGTCGGCACTTTGTTTACATTTCGGTTTAAGCGCACTTTTGTTGTTGTTATTGTTGTAGATTTTGGTGTGGTCTTTTCCTTATTGCTCTTTATATTGTTTGATTATTTTGTAGTTTAGAATTCTTTTTTGCAAAAATTTTACTTATGATTTTTCGCTTTCATTTCATGTGAATTTCATTCACTTTTTGACGTTTCAGTGGACTTTTGTTGTAGTTGTTGTTTTCTAAATTTGTTTGTTTTTTGTATTTGGAAAGCTAATAGGAAATAAATTAATTTATTTATGAATTTTTTTTCGATGGCATACATACGTACATACATACATACTCTTACATACGTACATATGTATATACAAGTTTTTGCAATTTCGCATATTTTTTTTATGTAATTCAGTTTAATTAAATCTGTCATATTAAATTTTTTATTTTATTTTATTTTTTCTTTTTAAATATAACTAATTTTTTTTTTTATTTAGTTAAGCTTATTTAATTTATTTAAATATTTTTTTAATTTAGCTTAATTTCGATTTTAATGTTTTTTTCTTTTATTTCTTTGGTTCATTACATTTAATTTTTTTTTTTTATTTTATTTTGTTATTTTGTATTGTATTATTTTTTATATTATTTTGCCTTACATTATTTTATTTTACTTTTTTTTTATTTTTTTTTTTAATTTTTTAATATAAGTTTTTTTATTTTTTAGTAACTTTTTTTCGATTTTATATTGTTTTATTTTTATTTAATTTAATTTTTTTTATTCGATTTCATTTTTTGGTTTTTATTTAATTTAATATTTATTATTTCTTTCATTTTTTTACACAATAATTGCACAATGATTGCACAAGACTACCGTTGAAATATATTAAAAATTTATTATTGACTTTCAGTTGTCATTCAAGCGTTATGCGTCTCAAGCATTTCGCTGCGTCGCTTAGCGTTTTAATTGGCAGCCAAATGCGCACTTAGACAGCAGTGTCTTGTAAGCAAAATTACACAATTTGCATACGTCAGAAAGCAGTTTATACCCGCATATATACATACAAATATTTGCACCCATCAAGACTGAATTGTTCCAAACAGCAGCCAGGGTGGGCTGCCAAACACACTCAGTCTTAACCACAAAAATATTATTATTATTGATTCTGAGAATGAGAACGCTTTCAAAATGAACAAAATGCACTGCTACTGCTGTGTACATATGTATGTACATCTTGGCATTTCCGTTTTATTGATAAATTTTCTAATAAATAGTTCGCCAAAGAACACACGTACGCACACAAACGCATACATGCAAAAGCTGAAAGCTAAAAATATTTGTTTAAATAGTGGATTGTTTGTTGATTTTAGTTGCAAAAGTGAAAGTACGTGTGTGTGAGTGTGTGAGTTGAACAATATTTATTTACTGCTTTTGTGCTAAAGTTTTCCAAGAATTTTGCGATAAGCTTCATACATACTTGACAGTTGATATTTATTAACAGTCAAGAGCTGTTTATATGTCAAAATGTACCGTAAATGGCATTTAGCATATGAAATTGTTGTTATGTTACATAGAGAAACGAATTTACTGCTCACTGAGCATAAAGCTTTCATGGGTTAAGGCCTCAGAATTTGCAATAATACAAAACTATTCTTAAAATAACGCAGTAATCCTCAAAGTACCCAAAAATTTACACTCAAGGATTTGTTTCCTTCTCACTGAGTCTTGACATTTTTGAACCGATCTCTCGATTTTTTAATCGACTCTCCAAACTTGTTCAAATCATACCTGGATCTTTTCATTCAGACGCTATACCTTCAAACTTTTAGCGCGGCTCCACATCTTTCAACTGGTCCTTTAAACTTTGTATCAAGCCTACTTGTTTGTTAAGACATCATTACTTATTCCCACTCCTCCATCTATTTTATTAAGCAGAGACTAAAGCGTGTTACGTTCTGGTTTAACCCCCAAGGGATGATGATTATGTTGTTCCTTACAACCCCTTGTGACATGAAGCCCCGTTACATACTTCACTCTGGTTACCCTATACACTCCTTTCCTCCTTCTAAAAATATTTTAAGACGTTGAACGACGTGCAATCATTGCTCTTATTGTTTCCAAACTATTAATGTACGTATAAGTTGGTCATTTTACAGTTGTTCCCCATGATGTTGGCACAGCGGTCTTCCTTACCGCAGACAGGGTCAGGTTATAAAGGAGAGTTGTAACTAGTTTGTGCCTTAAGTTAGGTTTCAGTAAGCGCTGGAGAGGTTACCCATGCCTCAGTTACCCATACCGGGTAGCAAATTCTCAGGACGTATGACATTAAAGGGGAAGAATGAAAATTTGAGAGCAACTGTAGCTGGAAAGGCGCAGTGAAAGATGAGAATGAAGAAAAAGAAATGTTCTTTAAATTCAAATCAAAGAGCAACGAGTTTTCTGAATGCTTAGAAAAACTTTCGTTTACTGCCTGTGACTGTACTACATGCAAGCCATTGCTTTCCATCATGTAAACAAGCAATCAGTTACAATTTAATTCCAATTTCGGTCTGCTTTTATAATGAAATTTTTCAACTAAAGCCACCACATAATCACCAGCTGTTTGCCACCATTGACATATATTTAACGCTATAAAAATGTTACAAAAAATTATAAAGCTCTTCGACATTTGCAGTATCTATTAAGCCAGCCGACCAACACAATTTTGTAATTTGCGGTTAAAAATTCATTACCACTTCTGTATACAGACACACACGTAAGCGCGCACATAAAGAAAATGTGGTGATAAAAATATCAAATATTTATAAATAATAACAATAAATTTGTGGTTTTTCGACAACCGCGTGCACACACAAACGCGGCTACTGTATTTGCTACTATGTGTGGAGTGAAATATGTTTCGCTCGCTTAATAAAACGCAAAAAGGATTGGCTGGTGGTAAAAAGTATTAGCAGGCTCTTATCAGCAAAACGTACCACAAACGTACATATGTAATTTTATGAACCCAATTGTGTGGTGATAAAAATTGCTTCATAAATGAAATTGCTTACACGCTATTGGAGTAATAAAATGAGAACTATTTTTGGGGTAAAGTTAGTGGCGATTTCGGCGGATTGTTGGGATATTTGTGGGTGTCTAAAAAAAATTGTATGGTGTAGTGTTTATAGTGTTATATTAATGGATGTATGTATGTAAGTTACAGTGAATATCTTAAATTTATATATTCCACTTTTGAATTTTTCGAAGTTAAAGTTAAACTTACTCACCATCTGACCGCTTTATGTTCGCTATTCCACTTCCGATTGATTTGATTTGATTGTGTTTTTTTGCATCTGGAAAAATTAGAAAAAGTTATTTAAGTAACACAACAAAAGCAACTAAACTAAAACAATAAACATAAACACCCACTTACCCTTGTCAGACGATTGACGTTTGTCACACGCACTAAACTATCGATAAATCAGCTATGTTGTGGAGTTATGACAGCCAAAATGGCGACACATGCTCATAATTTGTGCAGTAGAAGCCAAATATGTAAGTAATCGTATATTGCCACGAAATTGTCAACGCGCACATAAACTGAATGGCGTCAGAGGTATGTATATATGTCGCAAGATACGCATACACTTGGACTGAGTAGCGCACAACAGGAGGGCATGGCTATAACTTTGCGATGGTGGTTCAATTTTTAATGTGCATACTTACAAGATATTAAAAGCTACAAAACGTAGATAGTAAAATTAAACTAGGAATAAGAACATGGAAAGCACTCAAGCAGATGTGCGGCTTTAGAAACGCCTGCGATGCATGAATTCCCAAACGAATTTGTGCTGCCTTTTCGTACACATTGCCAAAATGTATGTATGTAACCACTCGTGCGCACTGCACATAAATATTCTGAAATGACGCATTGCTGCATTATGGTCACAACGCATGTAATAATTTGTGCGAACGCGTGAGCGTGTCACATAAAATGCCACACTTAAAACACACGTATGACCCGCCATATAATAAATGTGAAAAATTTACCAAAGCATTCAAAAACCTGGCAAGCGAGTATTTCTAGCGGTTATCTACCGCCACCACCAACAACACGCGCACTTATGGAACGCCGCATGGCAGGCATAGATGAAGTGTAAAAATGACGGTGAGTTAATAAAATAGCAGCACTTAACTGTTTGACACGTTATCAAGCAGCAGATATTGCGGTTATAGGCAAGTGTAATAAAAACAACATATTTTGTACGCATTCAGAAAACTTCCAACACGCAGCGCCGAGCAGAGTCCCGAGAGCAATACGCATAAAAAGCAAGTCAGCAACAATTTTCGTTACTCGCATATGCAGACGCTCGTTTTTCTAGTTTGCCGTAAGACCTACTCTGCCGTATGCGACGCCGACAGTCCGGCTATTTTACGATGAGCTCAAGTAACGGTGTTAACCTGCTGTTGCTTCAACTATCCACTAGCCGCATACTGGCTTGCATTGCTCTTTGTAGCGTTCTTGACATGCTCTAAAGTTATCCAACCAATAACTGTAGCTACTTTTTTTTTTTTTTGCAATACATAGACGTCGAAGAACGAGCTATTCACGCTGCGTTCCATTATAAAACTGACCTCAAGCCACATCGCGCATAAATCAAGTAGCAAGTAGCAAGCAGCAAAAGAGAACTATGTACAGCAATTCAACAGCAATAAAATATATATTTATATGAATAAGAACAAGCAATATATTGTTATATTGCTGCTGGCTACTCGCCGCTGTTTGCCACATTTGGAAACTACAACAGCAGCAGCTACTGTTAGCTATTTTTTTGCATTATTACTTGTTGTAGTCACTTGATTATTACTTTGGCTACTGCGCACAGTTAGCCGCAGCAATGGTAACCGGTAAATAATCGCACAACATTGGAATTATGATATTTATGTTGTCTTTTCCTTTACACTTTTTTTTTGTTGTTTTTTTTCTTCAATAATATTTTGCGCACCCCAACCGCAACAGGAGCAGCAATAACACAGCATTAAAAAGGCGGAGTTGTGGGCGTTCAACTAACAAAGGCGTAACCGATTTGACGGCAACAGATTGGCTTACGTTGCCAACTCGATTCGAGTACAGTGTGGTTCGGCGCAACAAGTCCAACCTTGCCAACCAATAAGTCTATTTTCTCTACATAATTTTGATTAGCGACAGTGAAGCGCCTGAGATCAGCCGTCAAAGCGGACGTTGTGGCTGCGTCGTTATCTCACAGCTGTTTTTGTGTGAAAACTATACGCCAAGTTGGAAAGCTTACGGTACGTATGCCCGGCGAGTCAAGGGCAAATTGTTGACCCGTAAGCCGACAAAGTGATTACCTTACTTGCTTGGGATTGGCATCAATCAGGCTTAAGCGTAGCGCTATGCGAACTTTTTTTTAATGCTCAGCTTAGAGAAATCACGATCAGTGCGGTGAGTAATTTGCAAAAAATCACATTTTGCTTTCAGCTTTTGTTTTAGTAATGGAAATAACGGACTACGACGACTGTTTTTAATTTCCTAAACTTTTTTTTTACCGTCAGCCTTAGAAAGCCGCGCAATTACGCGCACAATTAAATATGCCAGCTAGAGAAAAACGCCAAAAATTAAGACAGCAAAAAAAGAAATGTGCAAAATTAACGGTTTAACTGCTTTAAAGAGCGACGCTGTCTCTCAGTGAGTGTAAGTGACAGTTATAAACAAATGAGAGCAATTATAGCGCGCATACCACGCAACCACAACAAGAACAGCTAATGGTATTAAGCAGCATAATCGTATGCAGTCCATAAAAGCGAAAATGTCAAGGTCTGCGCGAAAATAAAAGCGAACGAGAGCAACAAGGCGACAATGCGCTGCTGTTGTAAAATACTCAATTACGGTAAAGCTAGACTACGTGTGCCTTTTGTTCACAAGGGCGAGCGAGCGAGTGAGTGAGTGAGTGAGTGGGTGTGCAAGAGCAAGCGTGAGTGTTGCAGGGAGCAGCGAATTTTTAAAAGAAGAAGATATCAACATGTCTTTAGATTCAAGGTGGACGCCTGCCATACGAATACTCCGCTACCGGTATTACGCATACATGTGTTTATAATAAAATGGGTGCGCATAATAAAAAAGCCACATTTAAGTTTTAAAGGCGCTATAAAAAAGGTGCAGAAGCGTAAAAATGCATATAGAGACATTAAAGAAACGAAGCAACAAACAAGCAGCGAGGAAAACAGCGAGCTGTGTGTGTGTGTGCGTGTAGAATACAGTGGCCTTGCACGATGGCACTAGCCGTCGGCGGAGACAGCCTTGCAAATGTTCGCGTTACTTATTATTTGCTATAGCGACGCGGATCAACATGTCATATACGCGCTTTAAATGGATTTGTAATCCCTTTACTGTGCTCTTGCCACAAGGACAACAACAATGACATCAACAACAGCAGCAGCTGCACTTCAAACTCAAGGATGCGCTAGCAAGCTGTAAGCGAAAAATCATTGAAGCGCATTAAATGAAGAAGTATGAAAAATGCAAAGGAAAAAATGAAATAAATGAAATAAAAAGAAAAAAGGATGGGTACGGTACGTTGGATGCTGTAATTTTGCCTGTATGAGTGGTTGCATGATTGCGTTGTAGCGCGTCTGCAAGCCACAGGCATAAACGCTTGCGCGCCCCTTCGTGTAAACTCGGGTGCATTGTAATGAAGTTCGTGAAGTGGTGAAGTGTGGAAAGAAGCAGCACCACGTTGTTTGCAAAACGAAAGGTGGCCACCAAAGGCAGGCACATAAATTGAATTATTTATAATTGCAGTTTATCCACACCGTTGCTGGCTGCGGGCTGTCTTCTGCCGCTCATCATTTCATTTCATTCATATTTAATACGTTGATTCATGCGCTACGCTATTGCCATTACTACTTCATATATTTTTTATGCCATTTTTCAATTAAAAAAGGAAATTTCATTGGGTTAGAATAGAAATTCTCACACACCATTTGTGCGCTTATGGTGGATACGCCTAATTATGTTCAGGGAAACATAGAAAGAAGGCGCGCAAATAATTGCAAAACGCTACAACAACACATGATTCACTACTCCACCTTAGCTTTGTTGCCTCCGGCGTTGTATCGCGGTTAATTGCTACCGCATGCCACATGCCGACACGTCATATTAGCAAATTACCAGCGCATTACTTTTGCCGCCACACACAACTAAGATTTTGGATTTGTTATTGCGCGCTCTTCCTCTTTCCCTCTCTCTCTCTCTTTCTCTCTAAGTGGCAACTATTTACAAGCGCGCATTAATACGAATTTAATTGTTCACAACTTTACACGCATTCAACAGCAAACGCCCACCGCACATTGCCACAAACACACACTAATCGGCACCCTCATCATCGTCATCGAGATAATCACCAACATCATTGGCTTCAGCAGTATGTGCTAGGCATTAGCTAAGCTACTTTTCTCCGAATCGCAGGCATCATTGGTAATGATGTTTGTGAATTGAGGTTATGGCAGTGGTGGTAGCCCTCGTGTTGACATATCTGTAAATCTCTTAACTACTTTTTAAGTTATATGAGCATGTCCTTTGGTATATACGTACACGTACGTGTGTGTGTGTATATGTTCCGCAGTGGTGAGATTTCAACTGTGCGCCATTAACTGTCGCAATTACAGAAATTGCTTGAATATTTCAGTAATATGTGCATAACATACATACTTATGTACGTGTATGTATGCATGTAGGTAAGCATAACTGGCAGTGTATAAACATTTCAGTCTAGTTTCAGTTCTTCGTACGTTCGGGCATTTGCGGAATGTTAATGTGAGAGACAACAATAGGCAGCAAGACTGAATAAATGGGTGAGTAAAGTCTTGGTTAAGCATTGGGGCTACTGTTTGATAGTCTTTTGTTACTTTCCAGGTATGTGGCGGAGATGAAGTTAGTAAGGAGACGCAGGTTATTTTGATATTCGACAAGAAAATAAAGGAAATAAGAAGAAGAAATAGGCGAGTTCAGAAGGGGCTGATTAACAACGACAACGAGAGAGGAATGTAAAAGCGCTGAAATGGACTGAAAAGTTTTTGGAGCTCAGGCAACTATTAACATTGCAAGAGTAAGATCTGAATGAGTTTCACTCTAGAGAGTTTGAGCTCTGGAACAAAAGAATGTCAGAGAAAAATTCCTAGGCATGCTGATATCGTTATATTCACGAGTTGAGTCGACCGCGAAATCTTAAGCGAGAAGAAAGTATAAGAATGCGCGTAAAAGAGACCACAGCAAAGTCTGTCTAAAAGCAGACTTTAGAGAAATGTAACAGAACAAGATCTTTACGCTAGCAAG